TGGCACGGCACGGATTGCTGGCTGGCAGCTTATTACTTTCAAGTTGTATACAGTAATTTATTGGAGGAAAAATGGAAAAGTCTTGAAATACATGCAAAAATGTTGATAGTAAAGAGAAATTAATCTCAGATGCCTATGCCAACATTGAGGTTTACTTATAAAGAGAATTCTCTAGGCTTGCTCCATTTTGCATCATTAGCACCTATCTGCCTTGCTGAAATGAAGTACTTTCTGTGTGTGTGTGTATCTCTATTTTTGGATAAAGTGCTCTAGAACCTATATACGAGCATGCACGCATTGGGATGTCATTTTTCTCTGGTGATTTAAATTTCAAGGCACTAGAGAAAATACTGCTTCATCAGGTCAGAGGGAGGGGTGAAAAGGGGGGGCGTGTGGGTGGGGAATTTGAAGCCATCCTCAACCTGAAATTGGAGCTTGTGACTTATGGAAATATTTGGACATACCATGTACTGATTTTTCTCTATTCACTCTCTTCATTAAATTGGCTAGGTTTCAGTGGGTAATGCTGTGAATGCTCTTTCTATCATGCGCCTGTTACTTGCACTTATTGAGCACAAATGTTGTTGATCTGGCATAGATGCGATTTGTGTTTGTTTTTCACAAATTTAAAGTTCTTATAAATTGATGTATGATGTTATAACTTATTTTAGGAAAACAAAGTCGGCAAGTTCGGATTTGCACAAAGGTTCCACCTTCAAGCTGTAAAAGAAGTTATTACGGAGGTAACTTATCCACTTCCTTTTGGCTTTGCTGTAGTCCAATGTAGTCTATTGGTCCCTCGCTTAAACAATGCTTAGCACCTTGCATCTACAGGCATTGCAAAGTGTTGGTGCTTTAAATACATATTCTGGTTATTTCATTTTAAAAAAAATGTGTAGGTGGACCTGGTAGCAGTGTATGCAATACAAAGAGCAACTTAATGAAGAAGGCAAAACTAGAGTTTCTTAACAGGTATGAAATTGTTTTCTAACTTGATGCATATATAGGGCTCTGAATTTCACATTTATGGCATGTTAAGAAGATGATTTTTTCTACGTTCCATATTTATATATATAAGATTGAAAGAATTTTTGGGTTCTTCTGATGGAGAATGACTAGTTTCTTGGCCTAGTACTGAAGCATAGACTCCCAGACATCGTTATTGGACATGTGGTTTTACTGGTAAAAGATGTGCCTCAATATCAATGTCGATGTCAAATACCATTTTTAATCCATGCACTTTTTTCTTTTTTGTAAAATCAAATATACATTTATAAATGTGTGCTGGATAACAATTGATCATCGTAAAAGTTTACTTTGTATATATCAGCATGACTTTGAATATTAACCGGCCTTCTTTCTCTTGAAACCGACTTGTACAACCACAATGTGCTAATGATGTCATGACTTTTTGGGGCCCCTTTTTTTTTTCATTTGGATGGGTTATTCAGGTGGTTAACTTCTCATTCTCCCTTTTAACAGCAAAGAGGTAAAGAATTTTTCAGCTATGAAGAAAAATGCAGTGCAAAGAAAGCATGGGTAAATCTCTTGTTTAACCATATCTACTCTACATTGAGAGACCTATCTGTAAATTCACATACAAATACTAATCAATCTTGCTTCTTGTCGTGCAGTCTCTCTTCCATGAGTAAGCCAGTTGGTTTTTCCGGGAATCCTTCTGCTTCAACTTCCAAACTTAGTAAGCCAACAGGAAGGAGAGTTTAGAAGGCCTACTGATTCTTGGCAATCTTGCTGAGTGAGTAGTGTTATCTACCATAATGTCATCTGTATCTTCTATTCGCAGTTTCATCCGAAAAGAATTTATCATATGGTGAATATCATTTACATTTCATCGTCTCATTCTCATTTCGCACTGCAACATTTTCACATGAATCATCATTGATGCATGAATCATCATTGATGCCTTGTATATTTGGTTGCTTTTTGCAAAGACATTGATATTTTCATTTTGGGGCAAACCTTAATACAGCCCTATCAAGGTTGAGGGAAAATAGAATGAAAATACTTAAAATATGAGTACTTCCTTAAGCAATTGTGATCACATATTCTATCTCCAAATACCAGGGGGAAACTTGTCTGGAAAAACAGCATGGCAACTCCTACAATATTTAGAATCTTTCGGTCACATGATTTTCAATTATATAGTCTTTTGTTGTCTCCAGCTGAACTATTCCTAACCTATGTTCAAAAGCTGGATATACTGGCTGCCGGAGCTAGGGGTTTTAATGGAGCTTTTGCTCGAGCTTGTCGATTTTGTTTGTCTAAATGAGATTAAAAAATTATTTAAGTTTGACTTGTTTAAAAACTAAATCGAGCCCGAGTAGTTCAACTATTTTCCATATAAAAGAGTTAAATTTTGCAAGATCGAGCCGAATTTTTTTGAGTTCTTTTTTTAAACAAACTTAAAAATTGTTTAGGTTCAACTCGTTTAGAACGCGAGTTGAGCTTGAGTTCTATCCAAGTCGAGTCCGAGTTAACACCTCTGGCTAGAGCAATTTGAAAAGAAAGGCCATTTCTAATAATGTTTGAAATAGGAATTTGGTCCTCACAATCAAATTGCTAGGTGGCTGGATACACATGTATTCCCTTATGTATGTTCATCAAAAAAAAAAAAAAAAGAGTAAATTGAATACATCGGTCTGTATGTATATATTGTTAAACACAGGTAATTTTGTCAAAGATTATTATCAACAATATGAATATGGTTGGAGATTAGGCAGTTCCAACGTCCACAAAATGGTGTCAGATGCAACCAATCGCCCTTCATCTTCTCATCACCTAGTTTCGTTTTTCGTGAATATCACGGATTCAAAACTTTTCATTATTTTTTTAATCAATTTTATTTCTTCACCCACTATTCATGAAGACAGATTATGTCACGTGATCTACAAATAAAGTCAAAAGAAAATTTAGGGTTAATTACGTCGGAAGTCTCCAAAGTATAGGTTTATTTTATTTTGATCCCCAATATTTTAATTGCATAATTTTGGTCTTTAAAATATTAAATATGTTTCTATATGATCCCTTAAACAAACGACATATAAATTATTAACAATTTTTTTATCATAAATTTGTCATCTGATACCTAAATATGAGTAAAAAATAATTTGGGTAGCTCTTAACCAAAATTTGAGCAACTCCTGACAAAAAAAAGTGTAATATGAATTGTTCTTGATCAAAATTTGGATAACGCATGATCAAAATTGTGTAATTTATATAGTTTTTTGAACAGAATTTGAGTAAAAATTGGATCAAGAGTTATCTAAATTATTTTTTTGCTCATATTTAAGTATTACGTAACAAATTTATAATAAAAAATTGTTAGCAATCTGAACATTATCTGTTTGAAAGACCATATAAAAATATATTCAATACTTCAGTGACTGTACTGATGCAATTAAAATATTAAGAACTAAAATAAAACAAATCTCATACTTTGGAGACCTTCAGTACAATTAATCCGAAAATTTATTAGAGGAGAACTATTCCCACCCCCAACCCGCACTAACATTGTTGGAAATTAAACATTGCTGTGTTTAATAGATTTTTTATATCAAACTAAATGTGGAGAGGGTTCGGCTACCCTTCAATTTTTAAATAATTGAAATATTTTTTAATTCTCTTTGAATGGTAAAGATATTTTTGTGTGAGTAAAGCTTTTTTTTTTTTTTATAATTTAAAACAAGTTTAACTTTTTAAAATATCAAATAAATTAAATGTTCTGACGTGGATGAATATTTACTATTCAACGAGATTTGTAAGATCGTCTAATTATTTCAGAATTAGAGAGGGGCTTTACCGGGAGTGAGTTAACAAATATGGTGAAAGTTATTATATAGACCACGTGGGAGAATTTAATTTGAAGAAATAAATGTCTATTATATTGATTAATTCAAAATGGAAGAATAGAGAAAATTATCTACATTCCTAATTTAGAGAAAAAAAAAAGACCAATGAGTCCTTTTTAAAAAAGATTTCCAAACAAGAACATAATCTACCTAAATTCGTATTTTACCCTTGATGACTTGAAGCTAATCTCGCTATGAAATGATTTATCAAACCGTAAGTTATAAAGTCAACATCAATTAAGACTTAATCACATAGTTAATATGGATTAAAGTGGTGAGAAAACTAGTAAGTTAAAGAGTTTATTACGAACACATTAGAGATTAAATTTTTTTTAAGCTTATAAAAAATATTATTATTTTTAATTTGCATCTTAATACATTAGTTTTGTGCAAGTGTGTTTCTTTAAAATAATAAATAAAATAAATTGTTATTGCTTTGAAATCATCTTTGCAAAGTAGGACTTTTAATTCTACCCAAAATTTATGGGTCTTAATGCTTATTGAAAATAATTATTTTCCTTAATTTATGTTGTCACCAGTTATATAAAGATGGAACATAAATTCTTGAGGTGGAATATGCTGCATGTAACCCTCAGGTGGTTCAATGAGCAAACTTGTCCTCTTACAAACAAATAGTTTCAAGTTCGATATTTTTCATATCTTTTAAGGGTCGATCATTCTTATTCCTCAAGAGATATGTCCTTAAACTAACTTGAGCTACGATAACCAAACTTAGAGCTCAAGGAAATAATCGACATAAACTTAAACACCCTATAACAAAAAAAAACACGCATAGGATCAAGGGTCAAAATCATTCCAAATTGGTAGAGTGTATGCATCGATTATATCCCCCTTTTTTCTTTTTTTTTTTTTGGTTACATGTTCAAGCTTGCGCTGATTATTCTTTTTGAGTTTTAAGACCAATCACTGTAGCTCAAATTAGTTTAAGAACATATCTCTTGAAAAACAATAATGACTAACCCTTAAATGGTACGAGAAATATTGAACCTAAGACTTTTTACTTGCAAGAAGACAAACTTGTCCACGTACCGTCCCTAAATGTTAGACCCTAAAGGTTAGATTATGTCTTCCTGAGGTCCGGCTCCTTTCATCCACCAAATTCCACAGTTCTGCTCTCATCACAATGTTTAAAAAACAAAGTAGAAGTCACTACAACAATCAAATTACTTCTTATGGATAACAAATGAATCACTCAGCTAAAAATCTTTATAACCACAAGCTATCTCATTTTGTTCATCGTATATCTTTGAATAACCATATATTGTTAGATTTTGCATTCTTTTTCAAAAAGTAGGGATTTATGAGGGTTCAAGCAAAGATCATCGAATCAACTTCAGGCTCAGAATCACAAATATTCAGTTGAGTTGACAACCAAGAAAGCTGGTGTATGTCCAATTTATAAATTCAACCTCAAAAAACCTCTCTAGTTTACCAGGCTCCACTAATGCAAGTAATTACAGAGTATGCTATGCGACTTCATAAAAAACCACACAGTAATAATTGACATACACTGCACATCAAATATCCTCAAAGCCATAGATTAAGAATTCAACGCAAGTTAATTCAATAAATAGGTACATACATAAGTTTTTATTCATCATACAAAATCTTCTCCATCTAAACAATAATGAACTTCTACCACAGAGAAAAACCTGCATATCAAAAGCCACACAACATGAGAAACATATCAGAATATTATGTCCTCATCTTTTTGCATGGTTCCGGACAACATGTTATGAGCTGAATTAAGTGAAACCCCTTTCTGCAAAGAAAATTTCTCTGCTACCTGCCCCTCTGCAAATTGCTTGGCAGCTGCAAGCTGTCTCTCAATCTCCTTCTTCTTGAAGCCCTGTATCTTCTTCAACCTGAAGAAATCCTCCCTTTCCAACTCATCTAGCTCCCCCTTGATGTAACTTACCGTGTTCTCTAACCTTGGCTTCACAACATTCTCCAGGGCATTGACCCTACGATTTGTGGTCTTGATAGCCTCATCAAGTGTCAAAAATGATGTCTGAAGAGAAGCAAGCTCGACAAGAACGTCAATGGATTTCACATAAGCAGCACGACAAGCTTGAACTTGTTGACCACCTCTCGCCAATCCAGTCAGGTCATTCTTTGTCTCACCTTCAGTGAAATACTCAAACTTGGGGAGCTTCACACCTGCAATGTTCTCTTGGCGAGATCGAACTTTAAGGGATGCGTTCTGAACATTTTCAAGGACAATGTGTTTGATGTTCTCGCCAGCAACATATTTGGCTTCCGTAAGAGCAAAGGAGGATGTTTTCATGATGTCTCCCATCGATTCTTTTGTTGAGATAATCTTCTTAAGAATCTGACGGAACTGCACAGTTAGAGCATCACTCTTCTTTTTGAGAAGAGCATGGCCTCTGGTGGCACCGACGAGGCGAGCTTTCATAGCACCAAGCATTGTCACAGTAGGAACAACGTTCAAGCGTTGAGTTTGTCCGGACATCTTGTCAAATATCTAAGCTGAAAATAAAAACAAGTGACCAATTGCTGTTTATGGACAAAAAGAATATTTCCTAATATATTTGCATTTCTGCTAAAGAAAGGAAAATAACTTCCAAATTCATGATGTCAATATCGTTGTAACGTTGTTAACTCAATTCAACCCAACTCAACAATGTCTTATTCCAACATTTTTTTGGGTCCCCTACATAAATCCCGTTTCACCACTGAACTCTATTAAGAATCATGCTTTCTGTTAAACCATTAGTTATCATGTCAATATCATGTTGTCGCATAGAATTAATATGCATACAGAATCATTTATCTCCAAATCTCCTGAATAACTTCTCCTGATGATGCACAGGAAAGTACACATCTGCAAAAGGCAACCTCTCGATTTTCAATAAGAAACTCCGTGATCTATATAATTTTACTCTAATTTGAAGGTGATATATCTTTCCAGTTGGCCCATTGTACCAAGGGTAGATCATGCTGGGCATGTGCCAGAGTATTCATTTTTCAAAACAATAATGAGATCTAGCCATACACCTTTAACGGGCTATCAATAGTCAACAAGCCATTTTTTCCCTTTTTGCTGAAAATGAGTGTCGTATTCCAACCCAAAAAAAAAAACCCAGTGGTACACAACCAGCAACAAAAAACAGCTAGGAGGGTATCCAACAGAAACCGGTAAAATACTATCAAGCTAAAAAGGAAAGGACCCAGGCCAGATTTGCCGCCAGTACTATCTGCTAATATAAGAGCTAGACCCAAATCTAGGCAGCCAAAAAAATTACAACATATCAGCGGATTGTATCACAAACAAACACTAGAACCTATGTACAGGAGTTCAGATAATAGAAACAGAGCAATCAGCCACTCCTAGTCTGCAAAGCAGTTGCAGGAAGACTCGATATGGATTAAGTGATAGTTTTAGGGGCAACCCACCAGTGCTGCCCATGTGATAAGCATCTAGTGATCCGACTTATCGACACTGGGCATTACATTCCTTAAAAACTATTCGTGATAGGGTCAACAAAATGTAACCGTTTCTCATGAAAAACCTCCAGTGTAAAGGACACAAAATTATAGACTGAACACAGTGCACAAAATTCTAATCGACTTGTTGGCTTGTTGATGGGTTCTGATCAATGAAAATATGAGATTAGACAGTACGACAAATAGTGTTAAGAGTAAGTAGGTGTTGAATTCACCAATCCAACAAGTTGGGTTTAGATCAACCATCATAATATCAAAATCTTAGACAGGTATAGGGCAAGAAAACTATCCCCATTTCAAATTTCCAATGAACAAACAATATCATCGATAATGTTCAACAGGCCCCTCCAGAAAACTATCCCATTCATATAAGTCATTCAAGCAACCAATATCCAACACAAAAAAATTGAAATAACACAAACCAAAGTCAGATTTCCGAACAAACAACTTTAATAGAAACAAAAAAAAAAAAGCGCAATGGAACCAAATAAAGAGCCAAAAAGCCAGATACGCACTTGAAATTCTGAAACACCAAGTAGACTTGCTAACCAAACCCTCATCATGTATCAGATTCAAAGAATGACCCACTGTGGCCCTATTTTAGTTCCTCCACACTGCTCTATGCATACACATACACACATACACACACACACACACACACACATGAATCCAGATCTATGAAATCAAACCTTAGACTAACACATAGATAAATAATTACAGGTCAATATATATAGTTCGATTGACATATATACGAAATCTAACGTTATAGAGCTTGGATCGAAGAGATAAAGGCAACAAGAGAAAGAACTTTGCAGAGAGCTTCGTAGTGAGAGATTACCAAGAGATCGACGAAAGCTTTGCAGAGAAAGATTCGTGAAGCTTTGTAGAGATGGCGTTTGGTAGTAGTCGTGGGCTTCGCGGACAGAGAGAGAAAGGGAGAGGGAGAGGGAGAGGGAGAAGATTGAGGAAGACAGAGAGGCTGATATATTCGGGCCAAACCCAAATTCAATCCGACCCTGACTCTAAAAGAAATTGGTCTTTTGAGTTAAAATTTTTAATGCTTAAGTTGGTCTTGACAAAAATTTTCTAACCTGAATTAAATTCGGACAAATCTTGAGTTGAAATTTCGGGTTCAACCCGAATATTAAAATCGGGTTGAACCCAAATATATATAAATATATTTAATTAAGATTAATATTTATCTTCACTTTTTAAATTTCAGACTTTCACTTTACTTCAAGTCTTCACCCTTGTGCTTTCATCACTCTCAAATTCCTCTCTTACTCGTTTCTCGTCTGGTCTCTCTTCATCTGCGCTTCATCCTTCATCTCAAATCACTTGAAAAAATTAGATCTACACTTCAAAAAAATAAATCTACACTTAAAAAAATCAACCCAAATTAAGTAATCTAAGCACAACTCGATTTCAACCAAAAATTAGCCCGAATTAAGTAACCCGAGCCCGCCCAAATTAAACTGGAGCAGTACTCGGGTTGAGTACCTCGGATTAAGGTAGAGTTAGGGTTGAAGATTATATACTTAAGGTTGAATTAAAGTTAACCTCTTAACCCGTCCAACCTGCCCTAGTTACACCCTTAGATATGAGAAGATGTGTGGGCTTTTGGGTCCAAAGTGTTTTTGTTGCTAACAAAGTTTGATTCCTAGACCTCATCCTCATTAAACCAATACAACCTATTTCTTTTGGTTGGGCCTATTCCCACCCAAAAATCCTTTGCTGTTGGGGGGATCCATTTCCTAGACCTCATTAAGCCAACATGACCTATTTCTTTTGGTCGGGGCTATTCCCACCCTTAAATTCCTTGCCGTTGGTATATCCCCATTCACAAGGTAGTGGGTACCATGATTCACAACCAATCCATTCCTTCTAATCATGGCATCTCTGAGCACTCTACTGTCTGCTGCTGGCCCTTCCCAACCCGATAATACATAAAACTGAAGCTCATGTCTTGTGAGCATATTCCTAAGACATTAATAACAATATCTCTTGTTCGGGATCGATGCTAGCACTGGACACTTATATATGTCTCATCTAAGGCTTCAACACAATCCTAAAAATTCAAAAATCAAGTAGGAATAATATGTATATACAAGTTCAGATACATGAACATAAAATTAATTTAGATAAGGTTAGATACCTTGAACCACTTCCATTTCTCATCTGTGGAATCTTTTAGTATTGGCTCAAGAGTTTTGAGCAAATGACCTTGCAATCTTATCACAACATTCAATACATTTTGAAAGTGCCTACTAATAGTCCCACTAGATCTCTTAAATTGTTGTTTTATCATTCGATTTTTCATGTGATGTGCAAGGATATGCAAGAAAATAGCCACTTGCTCATCAATTTCCAATGTTTTTAGTGTGTTTTAGCTTTCCTATTATCTCAAGCATGGAACATAACCTAATGAAAGCTTGTCTATTCATCGTAAGTTGAGCAACACTTACATCATCACTTACATAAGCATAGTCATAGACAATAGTCCTCCATGTAAAGAAGTCATTGTGATACTTTTGATCTCTTAATGATTTTTTTTCTCATATATTAGAAGATAACAGTAGACATCATATGGAAAAAACTATTGACTAAATGCATGATATTGCTCCACAACACAAATAATGCAATCAATTTCTTCTTCCTTATTGTTTTCCTTCTTGCTAGACTTAAACGAGTCATAACTGTCACAAAAATTACAAAGAAAAAATATGTATTTGTGATATCACAGAGCCATAGATTAGATTTGCTAGCTAGAGGTTATGTACTATTGTAAATATGTTATTTTAGTTGTGAAAGAAATAATTAGAGGAACAGTACGCCATAGATACAACGAAAAAAAACATAGAGGAATATCAACCATAGTTGTCAAATTGTGATTTATATCGTGAATCAGAATTCTAAATTTGAGAATTGTGAATCGTATCAAATCGTGAATCGTAAAATTCGACACAAAATTTGAATGAACAAAAATAATACTACATATTTAAAATAGACAAAATATTGAATACTAAACATCATTACATTTTAAAAATAATCAATTGACATAATCATGTCGTCTAAATGGAAATACACTAACTTTTTGCTTCATTTTCATCTTTTACTTAACTATTTTCAAATTCAACAACTTGAAAAAAAATTATTAAAGAATAGGGTTATTCAAGAACCAAAATAATGACACCCAGTATAGATTAAGTTACAAACATGAATAGAAAAAGAACAAATAAGAAAATTGATTGGGAGAAAACATACATGCCAACATTTTGAAACAAAAAATTAAAACCTAACAAACTACCCATAAAAGAATTGAGAGCAAAAATCAACAAATGATGCGATAACATTAGCCTTGACCTTTAGTTTTAGACAACGCAAAACGAGTTTTAGATGACGTCAGAGAGAGAACGAGCAAAAAAGTTGAGTTTTTATTAGGGCGTGAGTTTCACTGCAAGCAAAATAGCGTCGTTTTACTGTTTAGCAGACAAAGCGACTTCGTTTTGCCAAAATTTGGGTTTAAAAAAAAAGTGATTGCAATGTGCGATTTGTGATATATGAATTGAATTGTACGATTCAAGTGTTATTCAATTCTAAAATGATTATCATATAAGACACGAATCGTTTTGTATCGATATCAAACCGAATCGTACGAATTAAATGACGAATCGTATAATTTTGATAACTATGATATCAAGCAAATAACTTTGTCAACAACACAAAACTAATTCAATGTAGGGCTGTTTGGTAGGCTCACCTACTGGGATACTATTGGCTTAGGTAAACCATGACAAGAGAATAATAAATAATTTATTTGAGGGTCCATGAAACAATATATAATGAAGGGTAAGATTATGGGTTTTTCTATTTCATCAACCTTCAACCAGTGATACTCAACTATAATATTATGTTGATTATATAAATGAACTCCTAGCCAAATAGTGTTCAACCCAATGCATTGTTTCTCTGGTCTTCTTTGTTCCAAATAGTGTTCGTCCCAATGCCATTGCCGAGGAGTGAAGATCAACATCATCATAGTAGTAGCAGGCAAAGAACAAGTGCACTACTTTGCAGATATTAAAATTTGACATTTTTTTTTATTTAATTGATTCTGCAATTGTTGGAAATAATGGTATATTTATTTTTTTTAAAAAAAATATTAAGTGTTGAATGAGAAATTGTTAAAGTTTTTGTGACTTTTCGGAGCAATTGAAAATGTTGTTAAAGTTTTTGTGACTTTTGAGAGTAATTGCAAATGTGTGAAGTGAATATGACATGAAAGGCTACTATTTCAAAATTAGTAACTTTTGGTTAACAACACCAATCCAAATAGTTACATCTTTTCATAAAGTCACCATTAACACATTTTAGTTAAAAGACACCATTACAAATAGTCACAATTTTTTATAAAGTTACCATTGATATCTCTTGAACTAAAAGACACCATTTTAAATGGTTGTATCTTTTCATAAAATCATTATTGATACCCTTTGGATTAAAAAATATCATTACATAAGGTTACATCTTTTATGAAAAGACACTAGAGAGTTTATAAATAGGTGATTCCTTGCACTCCCAAAACATACAATTGAACAATTCAAAAATTACTCTCTCATTCTAGTTCTCTCAATTATCCAAAATACTGAATTAAGTATTCAATCTTTCTTCTTTCTCTCTCTCTCTCTGTGCATATTGCTACATTATTATTTTCAGTTCGGTTCAAGTTTAAACACAGAATTGTGTTTATTGAAGTCTTGGAGATTGAAGTGCTGCATCTTCAAGAATGAAATCCGTTCTATCTTGGGAGACAATTGCTTATCAACCTTAAGAAGCGNCATCTTCAAGAACGAAATCCGTTCTTTCTTGGGAGACAATTGCTTATCAACCTTAAGAAGCAAGAGGGAGCAAATATGTTTTAAGAAAACTGTGATTACATAGGGTTCAAATTATTGTTTTTATTATTTGATTTCTGGTTTTTTAGATTTTACTATTCGTTTTTTTCTGCGTCAATATAAGTGCACTGATTTTGATTTTATACATTCTGTTTAGATTAGTGTATAAGTTAGACATTATTCAATTTAATATAAACTAGTTATATACATATTTTCTATAACACCAACTATATAAACTTTAGCAGTATATGACACACGTAAAAACAACATTAGATTTCATCAGAATTATTTTCTTGTTTGCTTTTCTGTCTTCCAGTTGTTCAATCTCATCCTCATTCAACTACCCACCTCCGATTTTTGTCCCTTTTTCTCTTCTCTCTCTCTCTCTTCGCGGGTTTTTAACATACAACTTTATTTAAAAATAATAAATAATTTTATAACTTAATATTTGTGTAAATTATATTTTTGAATTAAAAGTAGAGTTAAATGGATAAAAATAAAATAATTAATAATTTTATTTTTGATTAGGAGATGAACTACATTCAATAAAATGAATCCCAACTAGGTTGACACCTTATTTAATTATCATTTGCATTATTCCCTTTAAAACTTATATGTTTAATACATAGGAAAGAAAATAATACATTATTTATAGTATCTAAATTTTTAAAACTTCAAATTTCGATATTGGAAGACTTAGTTTAAATATTCAAATTTAATGATCTAAAAGTATAACTTTTTTTCAAAGGAAGGGTGGGCGGGCTGGGCTTGGCGGGCGGTCTCTTAGGCTAGGTTTTAACGGGTTTTTTCGGATGGGTTATTGGGCTGGATAATGGGTTTGGGGGCAAACTTAAGCCCTCTTTTTAAAGATATTGAGTTCGGGCTCGGGCGGGCCAACTATCTGGCCTATCAAGTTTCGAGCCTATTTTTTTCGGGTCGAGTAACCAGACCCGTGGACACCCCTAAGTCTATTACCTTTAGGGCGGGGAATGAAAATGTGTAACGCCCCAAAAATCGGGGGGTCCTTAATTTAACAAAATTCGGATAGAGTCTCCTTTGTACG